TATTTTTAGTATTATCTTGGTGTGTTGGGTGGGTATCTTTTGAAATTAATGCTGAGAGCTATTTATTACTGTCCTCTTGGGTTCCACTTAGGTGACGTATCATTTACTTGATATATGGCTGGGGATCTTGGGAATATAATGAACTCTTATAGATATCAGTGCCAGCTTTATAGAGGCAGATTTGTAGCATTAAGGAAGAGGTTGACAAATGTGCAACAGACATACACTGTGGATAACGTTTGCACTCGCTCTTATTCTGTTTCATGTTACACCCCCCATAGGAAAATGCTTGTGCACGCTGCATGCTGAAGACCTGTATCTGCTGTCTGTGGTGTCTAGAGAAGTGCCTCAATTATTTGAATCAGGTAGGTTAGTCGATGGAAAACTCATACTGTGCAAATTGAGGTAGAAATTGTAGCTCATTCGGATGTTCTTTTTGTGTGATATATTCATTTTTGCAACCTGTTTCTAGAATGCATATGCGGCGACGGCCATAAACAGCACCAGTTTCTGCAACTCGGCCCGCGATGCCTTCATGATCCTGGTGGAAAACGCTCTTAGGGTGGCGACCATCAACACCATTGGAGATTTTGTTCTCTTCCTGGGCAAGGTGAAGGACAGATAAGTTTTGATAGTGGTGCATGCGTGTGGTGCTGCTGTTGTAGAACCTGGATGTGCTGCGCCTTGTTTACGAGCAGATGAATGCACACGTATGCGTTGTGGTACTCTCGGATTTCATCAAAAATACCTTAATTTGTGTTCGGAAAATGAACGAAGGTCTTACAGGTTTGGAATGACATGAGGATGAGTAATTACCTTAATGACAGAATTTTCATTTTTGTGTGAACTATCCCTTTAAGAAGCCTAAAAGACACATCAGTGTCCCATGCTGCAGACCAGTTATGCTTGACTTTTCTGCATGCTTTTTTCGTGCTTGTTATACCTGATAATTAGCTAAAATAATAATACTTAAGCATTCGCATATTTATCCCCATGCAGATCCTGATCATGACGTGCACTGCATTCGCTGGGGTGTTAGCGCTGAACTATCAGAGAGATTACACCGAGTGGGTCCTGCCGCTCATCATTGTGTGTCTGTTTGCGTTCCTGGTGGCACACTGCTTCCTGTCCATCTTCGAGATCGTGGTGGACGTGCTCTTCCTCTGCTTTGCCATCGACACCAAATACAACAACGGCACACCTGGGAGGGAGTTTTACATGGACAAGGCCCTGATGGTGAGTCACCGCTGAAGAAATTCTCTCCTTCTGTCTGCTGTTGGATCAGAACACCATAAATAGTCTCACTGTTGAGAGCGCACTTGCCATCTGAGTCACGTTTCTGTTTTGTGTTGTAGCTTCGCTCGTTCTTTTGAATGCAGGCACTCTGCTGGCCTGGATACGTTAATATTTTAAGATTCAGATGGTGTCCCAGATATTCTCTTTGGACAACTTTTGTTTTGAAAAGCTCTTTGATTTTTTTAAGGGGGAAAAAACTCACTCAAGGCTGGTTTCTTATGCACTCTTATAAAGCTTCTTTCTACTTTTCACATAGTCAGCCAAATCATGTAACCAGCAGCTTTGAGAAATCAAAAGAGAAGGCTTGAGACTTGAGGTGCTGCACAGAATCACAGCCCCTCAGAAATGCAAAGTCACTAGCAGTAAAGGTTGTAGCACAGCAACAGACTTTGGAACATGTCAACTGCTTTCTTTCTCAGAGCTGCTTTGGATAGAAATATCTGTTCAATCTGCAGTTACTGGCACCATTTCAGCACGTTTTTGGTGGGAAAGCTGTTTTCCAACTGCATGCTGAGGAACTGCACTAGTCTGCTTGAAAATGTTCTTCTGATCTAAGAAATGTTGAATAGAATTAGCAATTGTTATGAAATCGATCTTCCATTAGTTGTGGAAGTGGTCTGCTGTTGGTGACATATCATTTATTTTGCAAAGTCATCATTCCATTAGGATAAAGTGGAAATGATTCGGTTAACAGAAAACTACACTAAAAACTGATTTTTCAAAGTTGCAATAAAACAAAGATATTGGTGTGTTTTTCACAAGAAAATACTTTTTTTCATCGAAAATTTCACCTTTAATTCAAAGTGTTGCTATTTCATTGTAATTAATTCGTAAAACATACTAGCAATTTCTGAGTACATTTTGTTTCTACACCAGTGCTTTTTTTTCCAGTGTAAATGCTTTTAAAGTATTACTTAACACAAAAACAGCTGGAAAACACAACATTTCAGAGATTTGTAGGGATGCAGCGATACCGTGCTCCTGTACTCGTACTCATTAAAATGCCCCGATACCAAAAGCCGATAGCGTGTTGCATGATATTGATTGTTGTTCGCTCTCTTAGCACACACATCATTTGGATTAAAACTAAATCGTAAATATAAAACAAATAAAATTATAGGGGCATTCACAATAAACAACATTTAATTTAAACATCAAGCATACACAACTTTATTTAAAGCAAAAGTGAAGTTAGCAGCCTGTATGTGTCTCTCTCGTTCTGCACCAATACAAATGTGTGTGTGTGTTGGGCATGTTTTGCTAGCTTGACGCTAATTGCATTAAATGAGTGGCTTTGGAATATAAGTTGCAGCACGTTTCTGATGATAAAAACGCGACATATTTCAGAAAATGTTCATTGCTGTTACAAGGTTTATGTATAATGAGTGGTTCCTTGCATTGTTACAAGAAAACGTCTTGTGATTACAGTACTGAGCCGCTGCAGTGGAGCAGCTCTAATGTTCTATTAAATTAAAAATGAAATACGATGGCAATAAAATGAAAAGCTTGTACAATACATTTTAATGGGCATAATTAAGTGTTAAAATAACTAAAAGAAATGTCTATTTGCTAAATGAACTAAGCCAACCTGTTCATATTATTTTGGTTTCTGTAGCCAGTATTTTTTTTTAATTACAAATGGCATGAAAATACAAGTATTCGTATCGGTATCGGCAAGTACCAAAAATAAAAGTATCGGTATCGGCCTTGTTTTGAAAAAAGTGGTATCTGTGCATCCCTAATAAAGAGTCTTACTGCAAGGCATCTTGCAACAAACAGACATTTAACCCCAATTTTTATTTTTTTAATTAAGCTTTAAATACATTTAAATATATATTTTTTAAAGACAATTAGCCTATATTTCCTTTTTCATTTAAATAATATTTTCATAATAATTAAGCACATATTCCCCCAAATTGTTGGATAATATATCCAAATTTGTTTTACATTTTGAATATTTTTAATTAAAGAATAATTCCAATTATTCTCAATGGATATTTATTTCTTTCATTTACACATATATGTATGTGGATTTATACACGGTAGCATTTGTTGTTCTGTCTTTAGTTTATAGTGATTAAAAAAAAACTCCGTAAAAATGATGGTAACAAGAGTTGCCACTGAGAATAATTTCAGCTGGATGGATATATCTGTGATTTCTTATATATATATATATATATTCTGCTAGTATGATTTATTTTCACATTACAGTAATGATAATTTGGGAATTAAAACATGCTTAATTATTATTTAAAGGCATAGGCGGAACGTGTGTAAGGCTGGGACTTGGGGAAAAATGCCACTAAATTGGACAAAAATGCCCCATGCACAAACAAATTAAATCTATTACGTCTGTTGCTAACAAAGTGAATATGAATAGACCGTGTTGATTGCGGCATTAAATTAAGATCTGCTCATGTTGCACCGTATTTCATTTGAGGCGTTTTTACAGTGTTGCGCATTTTAACCAATCACACACATATCTGTTGAGCTTAGGAATGCAATGGCCAATCAGAAGCATTCAGATGAGTCATCGTTCAAACTCATCAGTTTTGTTGAGTGCGTGCGCGTTCGCTGACTGAATTCCGGACTCTTGCGAATTCTCTCATCATAAACAACAAAGCGCAGATGGACGTACAATGTAAGTAAGAGATTCATTTCACAGTGTATACAGCTTCAGTGATTATAACGTAGCTTTGTTTTTTTGAGAGTGCTTAAACTCGCGATAGATCAATGTTAGTGATAATGTCACTTTCTATATATAATTTATTCGCTGTTTGAATAACCGTGGAATGGAAACGTTATATAATTATCAATTTCTAACGTTTTTATTAAATTGAAATCACATTAAATACAAATTCAGTCCCATTAAACTTTTTTTTTTTTTTTAGCCTACATGACACCCATGTCTGGTTCTAGTCTAAAAAGATGGGTTTATGATGTTTAATACATTTGGCTGCTTTTAGCCTTACCCTGGAGTTGGTTCACCCTCCGCCTATGTTTAAAGGTCTTAATGCTTCTAAATGCTTCTAACATGAGCAAATAATCTTTTTAATTACATTTTTATATTGGAGTGAAATATGACTTGAATGTTCACCCAAACATACTGTGGCAGAGATAGTGGCTTTCAGACTGAGAACTCTAGGAAGCAGCTGTACTGGACTGTAGTTTGATTTATTACTTTCCTCTCCTGCAGGAGTTTGTGGAGAACAGCAGGAGGTCAATGGCGATGGAGGAGCGGGGGCGCAGCAAGCGCGCCTGTCCCAAGGAAGAGGTAGAGTTGACGGAGGTTAAGACCATGGTGAGTGGTGATGTGGGCGTGGCAGGGGCGGAGTGGCAGACCTTGCAGGAGTTCCACCTGTACTACCTGCTGCTGTGTGTGCTGCTGGACTGGGCCCTGTCGGAGCACACACTGGTGCTCTGCCTCACACAAGACATGATCATCTTCCTGTCTGTCTGCCTGCCCACCTCCACCCTCTTCTTCCTGGTCACGTTGCTCCAGAACACGCCGGTGGCTGCTACTGCATGCTGACTAACGCTTCCTCACCTCCTTCATCCATCTATCACTTCATCTATCCTTTCTATGCATCGCACTAACAGAGCACGAACATCTATTTTTCTATCTGTGGATTATTATTTTTTTAAATCTTGTTTTTCATTCCATTCTTGCCTCTTCTTTTTTACTGACTGTCTTTAACTCATATGGCAGCTATAAACTGTACTTATATATCCGTTGCCTTAAAATCGCCATGTTGCCATTTGGAGGAAAGATATTTGAAACCGCCAAGCTGGAAAAACAAGAGGAGTAGAAGAAAGGAAAGACATCATCTCTCACATTGATGGTCATATTTTCCACAATTCTCAATTAGCATTTTAGCTGATAACCACATTACTCTTGACTTTCTGGATAAAGCATGGCAAATTGTGCAGTTTCACAATCAAAATTATTACTGGGTCAATATGAACAGCCAGCTTGTTTAGTAGCAGAAGATTAAGACTGACTGTATATGGGTTGTTGACCTGAAATGTTAATCATTTCTGTGTGACATGATCTAAAGGATTTCTCAAATTGACTTGTCAGTTTTAAAGAAAACCATCTGACCCTGATCACTCACTAATTGACCATTCATGCTTTATTTCATCTAAAACTATTTTATACAACACCTTTGTTATTAGACTTGCAGTTTACCTAACCTTACACAAATCGAGATGATTGAGTCTGGAATATTGATTTAATATTATAATACAATATTATCTAAAAATATTAATAATGAATATATTTTTTACATTATTATATTACCTTAATTAATTCGCCATAACACAAGACTATTTGAAGGGATAGTTCACCCCAAAAAATAAAACTCTTTCTCATTTACTTGCCCTCATGTTACAGACCTGTATGACTTACTTTGAACACAAAAGAGGTATATCTTTTTGGTAATTTTGTTCATGTATTTATTTTTGACTAATTTATGTATTTTATTTTTGTGCAAAAACATTCAAAATGTTTGTTTTTGGGTGATCTGTATTTTTAGGTGAATTGCAAGAGATATACCTAAAATGTACACCTTTCCTTACACAATTGATATCAATTTTAAACTAAACTCTTGATGTTAAAGCAATTGTATGTTTTTTTTTTTAATCTTGAAAAAATAATTTAGATGTTTCACTGACTTGAAATAAGGTGAATGGCTTCTGTTTGTTTCCCACGCTCTCCCACAAATGTCTGTTATGGGAGTGTGTACAGTTTGGTGAGCGGGGAAACGAAATTCCCGGAATTCGGAAAGGTAGAATTGTTTTATGGCAACAACAAATGGACATGTTCAGTTATCCACTGTCATTATGACTGTAATTGCACTCAGCGGTAGGCTGTAAGCAGCTCAAAAGTCACAAAAATACACAAAACTACATGCAGTTGCATTAGAAGTTCATGGTCATTTTAAAAGTTCACATTTGTCAGCTACCCATATACTCTCCATGTTCCTGAAATTCTGTTATTATAAATAGTGTTGATGTGTTTTAGGGGTGAGAATCTAGTTTCAAGACAGCCTTTACCATCCATCATAACACCCTCTCCATATGCATGGCTTCTCACACCTGCTTTTTGCAATGCCATTTTATGGTTTTAGCCCATTTTTTGGCATTCTGGTGCTTGAAATTGGTAAAGTGTACTAACTCCTCCAGATCCAGATCAGTTGATTGGTTGTTGGTTTGTTTGGGAGTAAATAAGACTAATAACGTGTTTCTTTCCTGTAGGCTCCCGGGACAAGCTCTGCTTGACCAAAATCAGCCCATGGGACTTTTTAAAGACATTCCAAAATGTTTATTTTTACCAATGTGTAACATGTTTACTATGGTTTCACTCCAGGGAATACAATATTTTAATAAGAAACTGTAAAAAAATGAAATAACAATGTAATGAAGCACTTTATATTGGAGCGCTGCATATTTTAAAAAGCCTGATGCATTTTTCGTAGTGATGTCCTTTTTATAAGACTAAAAAAACCCAGTTGCCATCTAGTGAAACACAGTATTAATAATGTCTAGAAATCACTGTTTTTATTGGCAATTTTGCATAAACCTTTTTTTAGTTGGTTTTCTTTGCGTTTATGAGAAACCCACATACTGCAGTGCAGCACTTGTTCTTTTTATTTCATTTAATTCAAATAATGAAGCATCTACGCTTTTTATTTCTTAATTTTCAAAAAAGAAAAAAAAAATGCTAGTTTGTGTTATTTTACTAAAATAACATTACCATGCCTGAAAATGAGGGCCTCGTCCTTGCATTTCACTTGTGTGTAAAAAGGTTGGTTGGTTGGTTTCCCTCCAATGGTGGTGATTTTAGTTTGCTTCTGAGTTGCGATAAAACTGTAAGTCAAATTTCCCTACTGGGACTGTTAGTGCTGAATGAAACTGCGTCTGGTTATCTTAAACTGACTACAATCTACAGTTGCTGTAACTATTAGTATGGGTGACATTACAACAAAAAGCACATACAAACAACAAATAAAACAAACAATAACTGTTCAGTTAAACTACAAGAAGTTTGGAATCATTATGATATTTTTTTATGTTTTTGGAAGAAGTCTCTTATGCTCACCAAGAATGCATTTATTTGATCAAAAAATATAATAAAAACAAAAAAATATTGTGATTTATTACAATTAAAAAGAACTGTTTTCTATTTTAATATCTTCTAAAGTAGAATTTATTCGTAGGATGTCAAAGCTGAATTTTCAGCATCGTTACTCCAGTCTTCAGTGTCACATGATTCTTCAGAAATCATTCTAATATGCTGATATGATGTTCAGGAAACATTTCTTATTATTATCAATGTTGAAATCAGTTGTGCTGCTTATATATATATATATATATATTTGTGGAAACCTTGATACTTTTTTTCCAAGCTTCTTGATTGATGAATGAATAGAAAGTTCAAAAGAACAGCATTTAATTTTATTTTTTTTATCTTTATTTTTTCTTACCCAAACCTTTTGTATAGGAATGTATCATGGTTTCCACAAAAATATGAAGCGGCAAAAACTGATCCTAACATTAATAATAATAAGAGAAGTTTCTTGAGCACCAAATCAGTATATTCTGAAGGATCGTGTGACACTGAAGACTGGAGTAATGATGCTGAAAATTCAGCTTTGCATCACAGGAATAAATTCAGTTTAAAAGTGTATTAAATCAGTAGCATTATTTTACAGTATTACTGTTTTTAATGTATTTTTAATCAAATAAATGCAACCTTGGTGAGCATAAGAGACTTCTTTAAAAAAAAAAAACTGTAACAATTCCAAATGTTTGATGTTTACCTAGAAATGGTTTGTTAGCTTCAGAGCTAATTCAAAAAACAAGACTACTCCTGTTCATAAATCAGCACTGGAGTAATGATGCTGAAAATTCAGCTTTGCATCACAGGAATAAATTCAGTTTAAAAGTGTATTAAATCAGTAGCATTATTTTACAGTATTACTGTTTTTAATGTATTTTTAATCAAATAAATGCAACCTTGGTTTTTTTTGTGGGAGGGTTCAGAAATGAACACAGTGTACCTATGAGATATTAAGAAGCATGAATTAAGAAAAAAAATCTTAAGAGATGTAACATTTGCCACACAAAACTTATGCTGAAAGCATGTTAAATATTGCACTAAGATGGCATACATTAAACACAGAGATGAATTTATGATAGCTGTAAAACATTTATAGTTCAAATCGTCTTATAGCGCATTCAATATAGAGATGTTTCATAAATGTTTAAAGAAAATCTTCTCTGTCAACAAAATTGTCTTTTAAATGCTTGACGTTGCAGTTTCTGGTTACGCAACCCACAGTTTTATCAGGTAACGTAAACTTGATGACTGAACAAGTAGGTTGTGTTTAAAGATGAACGGCGGAACTTGCCTTTTAGAGTGAATCTCACAAAAACATGTCATCCCAAAATCAAAAGAAAAAAAATATTTTGCCTAAAAAAATTTGAACCATTAAGGTTGTTTGTAATTGTTAATTTGAAGGGAAATGTGCTTAATTTTCATTACTGTAATGCATCTGTATGTTTTAATTACATTTAAAAAAAATAATTTTTGTCCATTACTTTATTATTATTATTATTATAAATTATTTGTGTAATTTTACAGTATGTAACTTAATTTAACAGCATAAAAGTAAAATACAAAAAAAAAATATATATATATATATATATTATACACAGTACATATACAGTACAATACAGTAATGATGATTGGGAGAATTGTACTTTTTTTTAACAACAATGTCAAAAATGCAACAATTTTTTTTTTTAAACATTTGTTTATGCACAAACAGGTTTTGTGAGATACATCTTTTGATGCTGAACTAAGATCAGTTTTTTGGACTTGATAATTGAACTTAGGGATTTGGACCGGAAAACTGACCTTACAATGGGCATTGACTGCCTGAGAAAGTTTTTATTTATTATTTTTTAAATGGACTCTAGTGTCATAATCACTGGAACAGGATCTTTTCGGCCTCAGACAGCGGCTTTGGCTCACAACGCCTCTTTATATTGCCAAATGTGCACAAAAAGAAATGTAAGGAGTGCACAAACTCTCTTTTATGCTACCTGGCTGAAAACCGGTTAGCTTTTGTTTTTGTTCACAGCCTTTTTCTTCTTTCTCTAAATCACTGAAAGCATCTCAGTAACAGCCGTGACATCTAGTCCTGTCAGTGTGTATTAGAAAGAGACAGACGACCTGTGCTTAGAGGCAAGCAAGTAAACCCATAACCGCTGTATACACACACACTCATACTCACACTCACACACGACCTGCATGCTCCTGACCTGGGATTTTTCTAACTCTTTAAAACAATGAGCCATTTTTGTAGGAACGTGAACTGTTTGGCATTAGAATACATGTGACTTAACACTGATAGAACAATAGCTTTATTATGCGACAAGCCACTGTTTTTTTTTCGAGATGAGATTGTGAGTCTATTTCTCCTCTTCATTTTGGGAAACTGTGCTTCTGTTCACGTGTCACACGGGGGAATAGGCCGATTCTGTTATCGGATACAGTCATGGATAGGCAATACATCAGTTTACTCCTCTGGTGTGATATTAGCTATTAGCTCTTACCTGCAGTAAAGTTGTTTGTAACATTGAACTAAGTTTTTGTTGGTTTGTTTGATTTTTATATTTATGATTTCATATGTATCCTGTTTTTTAAAGTAATAAAATGGGGGGAAAAAAGGACAATGTTTCTTCAGATGTGTCAGCTGTTCGAATAGACTTCACCATGGATTTTCTCCAATATGAAGACAAACTGAAGTGAAAAACAGTTTTAAGGTTTATTTATTATGTGCATGTTTTTGGCATAATATCATTAATCTGTGAACTGTGAATGAGGCTGATAATATATGCACGCATGTTATATGTGACCCTGGACCACAAAACCAGTCTTGGGGTATATTTGTAGCAATAGCCAAAAATACATTGTATGGGTCAAAATTGTAGATTTTTCTTTTATGCCAAAAATCATTAGGATATTAAGTAAAGATCATGTTCCATGAATATATTTTGTAAATGTCCTACTGTAAATATATTAAAACTTAATTTTTGATTAGTAATATGCATTGCTAAGAACTTCATTTGGACAACTTTTTCAAATCTCACAGAAGTGAGTACACCCCTCAGTATTTCAAAAGGCGATTTTCTCAATATTTCGATTTTTTTGCACCCTCAGATTCCAGATTTTCAAATAGTTGTATCTCAGTCAAATATTGTCCTATCCTAACAAAGCATATATCAATGGAAAGTTTATTTATTCAGCTTTCAGGTGATGTATAAATCTCAATTTCAAAAAATTGACCCTTATGACTGGTTTTGTGGTCCAGGGTCACATATAAACAGTAGCCGTAAAAGTATTTCAAAAACATAAAAAACTGATGTATAAATCTCAATTTCAAAAAATTGACCCTTATGACTGGTGTTGTGGTCCAGGGTCACATATAAACAGTAGCCGTAAAAGTATTTCAAAAACATAAAAAAACCCTAAAAGCCTCAAATTTAAAAACAAATATTTGCTGAAGGGATTACATGTACAGTACCCTATACCTTTCAAAAGCTTGTGGTTGGTAAGTTTTAAAAAAAAGTCTTGTATCTCACCAAAGCTGCATTTATTTGATCAAAAATACAGTAAAACAGCAATATTGTGAAATAACATTACAATGCAAAATACATGTTTTCTGTTTTAATATATTTTAAAATATAATTTATTGCTGTGATGGCAAGACTACATTTTCAGCATCATTAACCCACTCTTAAGTGTTACATGATCCTTCAGAAATCATTCTAATTTACTGATTTGCTGCTCAAGAAACATTTCTTATTATCAATGTTATAAGCAAATATGGTGCTTAATATTTTTGTGGAAACCTTGATAAACCTTTACTATCACTTTAGATCGATTTAATGTGGCCTTGCAGAATTGAAATATTCATTTATTCAAATGAATTGATCATTAAAAATATTACTGACCCCAAACTTTTGAACAGTGGTGTAGTTGCATGTGCATATCGGTTCAAATAAATAGGGCCTCAACATGCCCGATACTGAGATCAGTGCTGTTTTCTGTTGCCCCTTATTGGTAAAAATGACAATTTCGGTGAGGTGTCTTTGCTATCAGTTGCTCACCTTCATGTCATTCTGATAAAAGCACCAAAAAGCAGCCGAGGGAAAGATTGCTTTGCAAATAATGATATTTGTGTCTCTTCCTTATGCAACCCATTATATGGGTTTGGAAGACTTGGAATATAGTTACATAGATTATTTTATTGTGCTTTGTTGTCATTTTTGTATCCATCCATCCAGTATCCATCTCCATTCACTTGCATTAAATGGAAAAGGTGTGTGTTTGGAACAACATGGGGGTGAATAAATGATGAGGAGTTCTTTTTCTTTAGTGTTTCTCATACCGCATTCAAAGCTGTGTCACATTCATCAAGAGCTTATGTTTGATGTCTTATACCTCCTCTTCATCTTCACTAGCCAGGGTGTCCAGCTCTTTGTCTTTGCACTGGACGTGTTCAGCTTTGTATGCTGTCCGTAAGTTCTCCAGCTCTTTAATCTCAGCATGGAGGCGTTCCAGATGTGTGGCGCGCCGGTTCTGTAGCAGCTTCATGGGCAGTGGGTTCATGTCGTTGAAGGCAATGCTTGTCAGCTTCCTGTGAACGAGAAAGACGATGTATATTGAGGAAACTCCAGCGATGAAGTTTAGCTTCCAAGTTTATTTCCTGCAGAAACCTGTGGTTTGGAAAGACTCCCCAAGCCAGCTTTTCTTCGTGTTTTTGAAACGATGCCATGCTCTGGAAGCAGGAGTAAGCAGGTGCGCATACACATAGTATCAGGGGCATATATTTTAAAATAGTCACACCACAGGCACAGAGGCATCTGACCCATATTCCGTTTTTATCTGTGACTGCTGCTCAGCCAGATGCAGGCTGCTTTGTTTTACTATGGCTCAATGAATTATATATGGTGATGTCTGACTGTGGCAGAAATAGCTCCACTGTCACGGTCTACAATATCATGAGCTCCAAAAAGAAAATATTTAATTAGTAAGACTTTTATGAAATAATATACAGTATCTCACAGAAGTGAGTACACCCCTCACATGTTTGTAAATATTTTATTATATCTTTTCATGTGACAACACTGAAGAAATGACACTTTGCTACAATGTAAAGTAGTGAGTGTATAGCTTGTATAACAGTGTCAATTTGCTGTCCCCTCAAAATAACTCAACACAGCCATTAATGTCTAAACTGCTGGCCTCAAACGTGATTATACCCCTAAGTGAAAATGTCCAAATTGGATTTCCTTCTGGGACGACAGCCATGCAGACCAATTTGATGCAGTGTGCGGCGTATGGTCTGAGCACTGACAGGCTGACCCCCCACCCCTTCAACCTCCGCAGCAATGCTGGTAGCACTCATATCTCTATTTCCCAAACACAACCTCTGGATATGACGCTGAGCAGGTGCACTCAACTTCTTTGGTCGACCATGGCGAGGCCTGTTCTGAGTGGAACCTGTCCTGTTAAACCGCTGTATGGTCTTGGCCACCGTGCTGCAGCTCAGTTTCAGGGTCTTGACAATCTTCTTATAGCCTACGCCATCTTTATGTAGAGCAACAATTCTTTTTTTCAGATCCTCAGAGAGTTCTTTGCCATGAGGTGCCATGTTGAACTTCCAGTGACCAGTATGAGAGAGTGAGAGCGATAACACCAAATTTAACACACCTGCTCCCCATTCACACCTGAGACCTTGTAACACTAATGAGTCACATGACACCGGGGAGAGAAAATGGCTAATTGGGCCCAATTTGGACATTTTCACTCAGGGGTGTACTCACTTTTGTGGCCAGCGGTTTAGACATTAATGGCTGTGTGTTAAGTTATTTTGAGGGGACAG